GAAACCAAGTAACGCAGACAGATAGAGGACAGTCGCTAGCAAAGCATCGAAACGTGCAAGAAACATGTGGTGAGTTAGCAGACGGGCTTTTTCAGGGGAGGGGATTCCGGGGAGGGTGAACCACTTATAAGCCCTTCTGTCCGGAATGTGGGAAGTCACAACAACCACAGAGTGCCATGCGGACGAGAGAGTGCAGAGAAAAACGGAAGATCGACGCGTTCAAAGGGATCGAGTTCAAATTGTCCGTAGACTAGACGCGTACATGCAGTCTTGTTCGCTGCGGACGCTGAGGCGTTTCAGGGTTTAGTGGAGGGGTAGGACTGGGGCAGCACCAGGCTGTTCTGAACCAGTTGTGGATACTGACAAGCGACCAAAACTGATGGAGAACAGGCCGCCAAACGCAGCTTCCTGAAACGCTCGGTGTACGCAACGAACACGACTGTTATAATCTTCAGATTGAGATGTGCGACATTGCGCTACTCGGCGAGCAGGCCCCACCATTGTTCTGAGAGCTCATCGAGGGCTGCACGTGGTCACTAGGGAAGAGTTGCTTCTGGTCTCAGGGGGGGGTGCATAATTGGTTTCGAGAGGAGTTCTTCCAGTCCACAAGACAATTGTAGCTGACTTTTGGCGGATTTTTCTGTCTCATGTGCGCTATCAATTTCTCTTGTGATGGTTGAGTGGTAACGACTTTTCCCGCCCCTGCCGGCTCGACGCAGTGTTTTTGGAGAAAAGGGAAACTAGTAAGTAGTTGGAAGAATTTGGGAAGATGGCAGGTAGGATGAAAAAAGGTGTGAGTTCTGCTGGCACCGCCAATTCACCCATCTCCATGCCAGTGATGGGCGCGCGTTGTTCAGTCGTTCGTCGAGGTCTATATGGAAATCGATTCCTCGCGCTAGGTCAGCTATGATCGCCATGCACGCCACTATAATCGTTCCCTTGATTTGAAATTTGATCGGATAGGCACAGTTAGTGCCTATCATCACCATTCCGGGCATCGTTACCCTTGATAATAAAAAAAGAAGTTTTGAGTTGTTTATTACGATTTTTTTGAAATTTAGAAGCGGTGAGGATGTGAGTTTTCGGATCCGCCCAGGACAAATTCTATCTACCAACTCTTAATGGCAGCAACTTTGGTATCCAAATCCTTGGTATCCTCAAATGACGAATGACTTGTTCGAAGTGAGTTCTTTGTCTACACTAGTCTTCTAGCTACTCCTTATCGAGTATAGGCATATCTTATCGACCATGATACTATGTGCGTCCTCTATTATAAAATATTGCGGAGTGATACTCATTTCTCCCACTCTGCGGTACGACACTCGCATCGCCGCATTTAATTCTCAACTCATACGCATACAATGAAAAAGGTGGCAAGTGTTCTTCTTAAGCTTTCACAGTTACTTCACCCATTCACAAGATCATGTTTGAGTCTTAGTGCGTTAACAGCAATCCTCTTTAAGAGCTCTCATACTTCGCGATTTTCTTGTTCGCGATGAGAAGCTATCGCACTAGCGATCGGCTGTCAGGCACAGCATTCGATGGGGATTTTGGTCGAGCTTTTACGACCCCCCCCTTTTTTTCAGGGGCTGGTACGACCCCCCCCTCCGAAACGTCCGCAAGGAGAGAAAAATCAACTTATAAAAATAAATATTCTTCTTCACCCAGCCCAGAATACGACCCCCCCCCTTCTTTGAGGCACATACGACCCCCCCCCCATAGGAATCCCCAACCAATGCTGATGCCTGGATCGTGTAGCCATGCGCGTGAACGCTCTTCGTATTGGCTACCTCCCAAATTAGATCAAACGCAGCGAATCGCCTGCCATCGCTCTATCGCCGCCGAACGAGGACGAGGACTATATCACCACTTTTGGCGAGTGTGGAGGCAGAACCTTGGTTAAGTTGATCTTCGCAGGAATGTTTCAAATCTATTGAAACGTGAACAAGCGACAGCCCTGCCCGCTTTCGAGAAACTTTTCGAATTTCGATTTTTGGTTACAATGCTCGCTCTCCGCGACAAGAATTATGCGTTGTGGGACTCAAATACGGATGACAAGATGACAGTCAAATCAACAAAGAGGAAAAAGTACTACAGGCAATGGGTGAAGTATTGTCCCGTCATCTAAAAGTGGGACCTTATGACGTATTTTTGAACGGCGAGAATTACTTACCCTCTTTGCTCGCGCGGTGAGGACTGTCGGATGGCGTTTGCAAATCAAGTGAACGCGGAACGTGTATTTGACGTTATGGCCTTTTTAGGAGAGTGCTCAACACAATGCTGATTCTCATCGTGTTAATTAGCGTCGCATCTCTTGTCGCAGGTGAGCCCAGAAACTTACGTTAATTGACCTGAAGAGTACGCGTCGTACCCTCAGAAGCTGAAGGGTAGGGATACCCGGTACTGACTCCATACTCCGCCTCGTGCTGCCGCACTGCCAGCCACACGCCTAATCGTAGCCAAAAGAGCTGCTTGCCGGTGCCCTCTCACTTGTGAGTGTTCTCGTACTCGATGATGTACTCTAGCGATAGTAAGCGTTCTTGCTGAGATTGCGAAGGGTATAAAACTTCACCCGTATCATATGCGGCCGCTGGTTGTGACTCATCCAGTAGCAGGCGAAGCGAAAGCCGATGGTCTGCGCCCCCGCCAGTGTGCTGCGATCAGCAGCCGCTTGTATGTGGAAGGAAAAAGAGAGTAAAGAGGATTGAACAAGTTTGTGGATGCGTATATGTGATTTAGTGGTAGTGGTGAGAAAATTAAGAAAAGTCGACATCAGGCAATTACCTCAGTAAATGGCGGGACAGGGGAATAGTTCCCCTCTATTACCGTTATAAGGTCACATCCATGTCGGTGTTGGTGCCAAATCTCACCTTGAACGTTCGCGTAAAAGCTGTTTGAGACAATCGAAGGGAACTAATTCGCCAGGTTTGCCATTATGAACGGGCATTCGCCCCCTGCACGAAAAGCGACCATAGCCCACTTTCTGATTCCCTCACCGCTTCCACTAACTCACCTGCAAGCATCCTTTATCTGTTCAATCATCTTCTCTCTCTCTCTCTATTTTCCTCGTTTTTCTCGCCACATAAAAGCGGCTATTGACTGGAGCGCAGTAGTGAGGCACGGCCATTGCTTTCGTCATCGCCCGTGCCGCCCAGGTGACGTCAAAAGTTCGCCCGCAACGCCGGCTGATGGGTGAGTTTTCACGGAGCCACGAGATATCGACGAAATGTCTGAACATTGAGGACTGAGGGTTTGGATAAACAGATCTGATGGGCAAATACTTTAAGCCTTATTCTCGCATAGTCTCGAGTGCCAGAAGTGCTCCGGTTGCTACAGCTGCCACGTTTCCTCGCACAGACGAGGGCATCGTGTCTTGGAAGTGTGTGTACGTTGTCTTCCACTTCTTCCGTGCAAACTTTAACTGTTTCAGGACTGAAGTGCGGAGTAAACGAAGTATATTCTCCTCCTGGCTGTGCGGTGCATGACAGCTGCAACACCCCGACCCCAAAAGAAAGTCCGTGTCTCGTTGGTTGCCGGCTGCAACAAAAAACGCTACCAAAAGGACGCCCAAATGCGCTGGTACCGTTTGGCACCAAAGCTGTACATAAAATAGTCGCATTGATGTCTTAGTTCTTAAATAAGTTGTCCTCTTTAGCTTCTTATGACAATCAGTCACTCAAATTTTGATCGACACCAATCAATCAATAATGCTTAGTGTCGCCCTATGTGCTTCTCACACCTGTATGTGTGTATTTAGTCGAAGACCGACACAAAAATGACAAAAAAAACTTTCTCGAAGCTTTCGGCACTGATGGCTGGGGGCAGACGGTTATGTTCCTACCGTCACTGCGCGAAGGGCTGCGTACAAAGCGTGGGCCCCCACCCACATTCATTCCCTATTCCACCAGTGACGTCAGACAGTTAAGGAACGTTCAAGACTTCGCGACGGCAGCGCTTCAGTCGCGCGTTCGGCGCGATCGATGCGCATGCTTTTAACTGCATCGATCGCGTCGAACGCACGACTGAAGCGCTGCCGTCGCGAAGTCTGAACGCTGTCCAACCGCCCATCCCCAGCCATCGTGTCCTTCGCACAAATAACGCCTGATAGTAGGGGCACTTGAAAACCTGAAGACCACCCGATGAGGAAGGCACTGAATTTCAGGTGACCACGAGGAGCTTCAAGCAAGATATGTAACCACATCATTAAGGAGGGTCGTAGCGAGATGGACGCCAGGGCTGAAGATGTCTTGGACACGAGAGTGTGGCGACATCTATCAAAAGCAGCGGATCTCGTGTCCGCGCGGACTAACGCCATGGAGAAGAGGGATGGAACGTTGTGCAGGAAGAGGGAAGTAAGGGGGGGGTCGTACTGACATGCCGTTTCATTCACCGTGATGCTGCACCTCGTCTGCAAATGTAATCTTGTCTTGCGATGGACTGAGAGATGATGACATTTGTTCCAAAATGGCAATATCCCACAAAAAACGCAACCACCACCACGCTGAAAGGAGGTACGCAGCCACGCCCACTCAGGGATTTGGAGCATACACGTAGACAAACGATAACAGACAGAAATACCGACTCAAACCTGACAGCAGTCTGAAAATGTCTTCAGGGCTCACCGAGGTGAGACGTGCAAATCTAGGAAGTAGTCAAAGAATCCTGTGAGAAAGCAGTGTCCACCCCCCCCCTCCCTTTCCCTCTAGCCGAACGGCGCGCAAGCTTCCATCAAATACTTCTGCTTATTTTTGATGGTTCATGATCATGTCAAACTCTTAAGAACAAGTCTATGATGATCATCGATTAATGGATACGTTCTGTAGTAGGATAGAAATGAGATAAAATTGCTTAGAGTCGTGTGCAATCATTCAGAAGTAGGAGTCGAATTACAGCTATTAGAGCAGGTTTACTATGGACAGAGGCTTTTTTTCAATAGAAGTATTTAGAAAGTTTCGATTTCTTTCAGTTTCGTACATCATGATCTGTGATAAAATTGATCGTCACTGCTTTTCGGCCAAAACGTCCTGATCGACCGATCCGATGAATGTGTTTTCGCGATTTGATGGTAAATCGTAGTTGATTACAAGTGAGACCTAGACTGAGATGCATTAACAATCTTGTTGTATGTTGAATGGAAGCGCTTCTGGAATTGTATGTCATGGCGATGTATTAGGCGTTATTGTACATACAGCACATATTTGGGGCAGCACGAGGCGCGGCTGCCTAAGTGGAGAGGGGCGGAGACGCATAAAGCCTATTCATGTCGACTCTGTATAAAAAAAGAGTCGACAAAGGAATAGGTTACGTGACAACTGAAACTTGTGGTGGAGGTCCTGGCGCGAAAGCTCAGAGCGCGAAGAACGACAGGACTGCGGCTGTTAAGCAAGGCGTGGGAGTGCGAGGGTTTTATCTTCCAGTGAGGGTGATATAGAGCGGGAACTAACATAAAAAGGTACTGCAGAAAAAAGCGGCAAACCTGCTGAACGTCGATAAGGTCAAAGAGATCCGTCGTGATTAATACTCTAGATGATCCAGATCGGAATTCTCTCACGAAAATGTCGCGTGCCATTTGATCCATTTCTCCATGAAGATTAGACTGTGAACGTTTGCTCAGACATCTGCTCGTTTAATTTTTCCACCTGTGATGAGTGTTCTTATGAAGTTTGAATTCGCCCGACATGAAACTTTTCTCGCGCGCGGCAATGATTGTCGCGAAGAGTTGCTGCGCGCGATATGCGACAAAGTCTCGGAGTGAGGCAGGTCCAATGACAGAGAGCGGTTGCGTAGCGTATGGTCCTGCTGGGGTGTAGGTTGGGACTCCACGAGAAGTCACGGCTGCCATGTTTCGCCTCGCCGCACGCGGTGATTGCTGCCGCGCTTGGACGAGACCCATGCAACCGTGCAAATAGGATCCTGGTCCCCTTCGCATAGTTCTGGCATCATGCCAACCTGCTTGGCATTCTGCCAAATCGCCAGAATAACCAATAGGACGCCAACATTTCCTGATTGCAGCTGTATTCCTTCATGGATTGCTGTATTTCTTCAATACTACCTACTTTACCCGTTTGGCCATTCCTATTGTTTTTTACTGATCAGTGTTATTTGCTTTGGACTGTTTTTGATTATTTGTTTCCCTTTTTTTCTAGTGGTTCGGTTTGTTTGTAGGTTTTCTTCTCCATATAATTTTCCTCCCTGCGGTACACTTTCCCTGCCTTTCTTCTTTTTTCTTTAGCATTTTCTTTCTTCATTGCCGTTATAGGGTTGCTCAGCGGCAGAATACATAACTCTGGCTCTTTCCAACTCTTTTCCGGCATGCGGAATCATTGTGAGGTCTTGCCATTGATTGACTGACTGACTTTCTTTTACCCAGTGGCAGTAAAATAAGTTAGGGCAGAGCCATCGATTATTTATAATCAACGTATGACTGATATCTTTGGTTCTCTGTACTTATGAATTACTTCCCCCTCCCCCTCTTTCAAGCGAATTTTGGGCTCATACAATACCTTACAATTGATTGCAAAAGAAGGATCAACCTAAAGTGAATTTTTGGGATTGTTAATTCACTCTCTTAATGTTATGTCTATGTAAATGTACGTTGTTTTATACTGATAGGAACATCGGGCCCACTCTGTTCATAGTTTTCACACCGCAAATAATAGAGTAGACCAATGGAAATGTAACGCACGGATGCAAACGCCGCGCACATCGCGAAAACGCCGCGCGGCCCGCCTCTCCCCCGCCGCGCCGCGGCGGCGGCTGACCTCTCGTGGAGACCTAACCGTTGCCCGTCCTGCTGTCAAGTAACGCGACAAACTGTTTTATGATTCAGTAACAACACATGATACGCAATTTTGTCGCACGCTGTGAACGGCTATCTAATGTGACGTGGTGCGACCGCGGGCTATCTAGCGCGACAGCAGGAGCAAACGTTACACAACCAGACGAATCATCATTTCATCACACTCACCTTCCTTCTCGTGTTACAGAAAACCACTGATTGTGTAACATTTATCACATTATATAGATCACATAGGGTTTCGAAATTATACCAATGAATCGGGAAGAAATTCAGAAAATACAGAGCCATCGAGTTGCCAGGAAATACCGAAAAAGAACGTTAGGTGCACTGTTAATTATAGCCCCAAAGTGCAAGTTTTCGCAACAGTTTGGATGTCTTGTGATGGCAGTTCAGTGGTTCTGTAGTTGCAGACGAGGTGAAGTAGAACCGTTTGTCTCGGGTAATACGAATATGAGTGCGGTTTGGGGCTACGCTCACGGCTCGAAGAGAAGGAGGCGGGGCGTAGGGGGAGAGGGTCATCGTCATCGTGACGATGACATTCCGCCGGCCGCAGGGGAAACAACATTGGGTGGGAAAAAACATATTAATAGTTGTGTACAACATAACATAAGATCGTTGCAGATGTAGTTGTCTTCTTCTACTGATAGCGAGAATTTTTTGATCGTTGTGTTGTTGAAGAATTCCATGGAGGTTGAGCGACGGCGGGCAGGCGGAGGAACGGCAGCGAGAAGTCGAACGGCGGTGAGGATAGCAGGGAGAAGTCGAACGGCTGTGAGGGTGGGAAGAAGGGGGCGGCAGCAACTACTCGCAACTACCACGGTGTTTCGGAATGACAACTGAGTTTAGAGTGCGCGCATTTAGTTTGAGATGGCCTTATAATTACTTTTTCGCACCTCCGCATAATTGCCAGTGGGTAGCCCCGACTTACTTTACTTACGACTCTTAGCACCACTCCCGGGCAAATTACATCCAACGTGAGCAGTCCTATCTATGAGTAAGATGAATGGGTCCGCACCAGCCACTTTCTCCGGTCATAGGTGAACGGGATTCGATGGTAGCAATAGTGGGGCGCTGTTTCCAAACTCCGTTCACGCTACCCTCGATGTGCAGCACTTGCGTTGATGCCAAGGTCCCGCAACTAGACACGCACTCAGCGGTAGAGAACAACCACAAGTGAGAAGGCTCAGAGAATTAGCTATGGCTTAGCTATGGCTAGGCGTGCGACTGAGCGACGGAGCGCGGACGGAGTCCCAATCAGCACACGGTCATCGCTATCCTCCAACCTCGTTCCCGTGTCTTTTTGTCCAGATAATGTGGAACGCTACAGCAGCCACGCCCATTCTCACAACGCAAGGACTAGGTCCCCATGAGGCGAGTCTACAACTACCCCCGATCCACACGTATTCTATCCAACATTTCTGTTTGACTGATATAGGCGTTCTCAATAAACTAATAGCAACTAACCTCGATGAGACCGTCAGCATCGACGGGCACAGCGAATACACCTTGCTTTACGTGGTTGTCTCTGAATGATTCCAGGTGAACAATATCGCCGTAACAACCTAACCAGAAACAGAATTCTCGGTAGACCATTTGACTCCATAGTGCATCACTGTACAGAGATGTATAATAGCAAAGGAGTAACACGTGTCCTGAACACCCAGGGATGCGAAGAAAGGTGCATTAAGCCTTGAAGTGGGAAAGAGGACATCTCAAGTTTTTTACAACCACGGTAATTGTTACAGAACGTCCATGCCGTTCCAGTTTCCAAGCACTGTTTCAGCGTTCGAAGCTGAGGAACACACGGTTGTGCCTCAGGACACATCGCATCCAGCATTCAGTATAATGGACGTTAACCTTTAGAAGAGGTCTTCAAAAAGCAAGCTATCGGAACCTCGAATGAGAGGTAAATGATCATGGGTGCACTTTATCGAACTTACCAGTCGGATCGCCCGGCTGACGCCGAGCTCTCCTCCTTCTCTTTAGCTGGCTTGGCCTCGCCAGGCGCACTTCATAATGGATGCGGAATTTGTTCATTCACTTAGCTACTCATACTGCGCTGGTTGATCGAATCGTAATAGATGGAGCAACCCACGCGCGAGCTCACGTCCAGCTGCCACGCGAGCAGCTTGTGCAATGGCTCGGAGTGTACTAAATGGTTGTCTTAAGTAGAGGGTATTATCACAATCAAAACAACATCTTATTTTGTTACTTTATTTGGATTAGTTTGCAGTTTTGCTGGCGGTTGTATCCTCCTCCCTTGCTGTGTGCTCCAACGTGCGCTACGCACACCCCCTCACCCAGCATCTTCCCTTGTTCCCCTACCCTGCACGTGCTGGTCCAGCCGAGCACGTGTGAGGAAAAAGGCAGAGTATATACAAAAATACAAATCGACACACAAAGTTACTGGTTTATAGAATGAAAGGATACTACAGCCTATCACTCACTACCAGCACGGATAATGTCGCTATCGACACATGAGCCATCATGCTACAGAGTGGCCATTTCCCAAGAGAGCCTTCATCTGTTCTGATTGATTTTGGTGGCATCCAGTCAAACGTGTGCAGAAACGAGAGAGCTCAGCAAGAGGTGCTACCACCGCGCTCTCAACTAGAAGGTCTTACTTGTTAAAGGCAAACCCGCGATCACCCGCCACCCCAGGTAGCGAAGGAGGGGTTGGTTCAGCCCGTGGCAGGCTGCAGGGAAAGCCAGCCTTGCCAGGAATATCCCCGTGTTGGGTCCGACCTCCACTTGTCCGTTCTGGACTCCCGAGTCGGTCGGTCCCCCATCACTGATACAGCCTGTCGCAACCGGTCCATTTACAAATGGACCTTTACCCACCATGACCACAAGGAACATAACCTGCTCTGAAAACTAACCTGACCCCCACGCCTAACCAGCATTTGACGGGCCCACCTGCTCTGTCGCTCCCAAGTCCCATTTATTATCAACCGGCTGTACGCTCAGGTGTAACAGGCACGAGCCAGGGCCAGAGCTCCGCCAGATGGAGCAGTGAGCCCGATCACACTGCTGGTCAGAGTGCAAGCACCCCACTACAAATCCGCCATCATCACAACACAGCAGGTCCCGGCGTTTCCCTCTTCCTGGAGGGAGAGAAGCGCGCAAACTGGCTGCTAGCAGCCTTATATAGGTTACGCTGGCGGCGCGGCAGTGATGCGGCGGGGCAGTGGCGCGGCCTGCGGCGGACGCGTCGCGGCTTTGCCCGTGTAGCGCCTAAAGCTCGGACGCACGGCACCTCGGCAACTGCTATCGTGCGCGACACTCCCGAGAGCAAAAGCGAGTGCTCTCATGGGTGCACGGGTCCGGGGCTGGTCGAAGCTCTCAAAATCGTGCCGCTGGCTAAGTACCTCCCCCTTAGCGGTAAATGGATGGCATGGTCATTCCTCACAAACTGCTACCTAATCGGCAGTCCCTACTAGTCATAAAGCTCATGACAGAAAGATGGTGCCTTAGGGGCCACCAAAAGAAGCCATACCGCACAAAACTATACTACACAGAAAGCACTGGGTATTTTGAGGGTATCTCAAAACCAATACAAAATAATTTACAGCGAAACCAATGCGGCTGTACAACAAATGACTACACATCAACTAGAGGCGTTTCAAGGACACTTTGAAAAACTATCGGCGAGAGCCTCAAGGGCAACCCGCAAAAAACACAACTGCCGAGTATCTCAAGGAAACCTGAAGAGACAAAGTGAGCGCCTTAAGGCCACTCGAAAGAAAATTGATGTTAATCAATTGCGCCGAAATTTCCCA